GGGTCAAGCACCCATGTTTGAAATTCAGCCTTCTGGGGGTTGCTGGAAAAGACCCCGGTGAGGCTGTGCTGCTGTCCTCTCCCCTGCCAGGCTCCATCTCTCCAGGTGGGGGTGCTCTTGCTGCTGCACCCAAAGCACCCCTCCCGCTCCTTCCTGTGGGAATGTTAAGGAAGGTAGGGAGACGAGATAGTGCTTTGATATGATCCCTCCTCGCTCACTCCAGTGGGTAAACAGCAGAGCACACTCCCTTTGCAATCTCTCAAATGACCTGTCGGTGGCATTTTACCATTGCATTGTTGAGAGTGCATTAACTTATGGTCTCTGTGTGTGGTTTGGGAGCTGCACGGTCAGGGGAAAAACAATGCTGTCCAGGGTTGTAAAGACTGCGGAGAGAATAATTGGGTGCACTCTTCCCACCTTGGATCAAATCTATGCTTCCAGGTGCTATATGAAAGCTGCAGAGATAGTGCAGGATAGTGTGCACCCCGGAAATGATCTCTTTCAGCTTCTGCCTTCTGGAAGAAGGTATAGGGTTATAAAGGCCAGGACTAGCCGCCTGAGAAACTGTTTCTATCCAAATGCGATTTTGGTTTTAAATGCTGTGTAAGGCAGTCTCTAGGGGAGTATATTGTATTTAATTATGGGGCATCCGAGTTTTTAGGGGGCTAACCAGGCTGGGATAGCTGGGATAGCAGGCTTGTTGGTTTTGAATGTCTGATGTAGATTTTTTTCAATTTCATTGTTCTGTATGGGACAATGACAATCTTAAAGATTATCACAATATCGTAAACCTACGACACAAGAGGAGGAAGCTCCAGAGTCACCTTCCCCTGGGTGTCCATTCCAGGCAACAGGGAAAGGTTGTACTTGACTGCTCCAGTAATAATACCCCCCCCCACTTCCCAGGGGCATCCCCTCTGCCAGGTGAGTGGCACTTTCCTGGAGCCCCCTCCCCGGCCGGGAAGGAGAGGCGCTCTCCCGGGACTCTTTCTGAGTCACCACACAGGAAGCACCACCATGCGCTCATTTCCTCGCAGAGCCTGCAAAGCACCTGCTGGAGAGGATTTATGGGGTGCCAGCCGCTCGCCCCTCCTGACACGCGGAGGCGGCTATTTTCCTGCCTGGGCAGCCGGTGCCAGAGCCTAGGGCCCTGAACTCCCGGGGTCTTTCCTGTCACGTCCCACCATTCTCTGGAAGAGGGCAAAGGCCCCGGCCTGGGGGGCAAGGAGGGCACGGCCCTAGCAGAGGACCCGCTTCCGCGCAGAGGGTCACAGGGAGCGGAAAGGGAATTGGCATGGCTGCCAGGCTGCTCTGCAAAGCACCGTGCGCTCACAACGAGGGAGGCATCTTGGCAGAGGAGAAATAGTTATACCAGGGAATTCTATGGCCTTTTAAACTTGGGGGGTTGATATTGGGGGTTGTTTTGTTACTATGGATGAAGGGTGGCATAGATATTATTATCATTATCGTTATTGTTGTCGTTGTCATCCCCCTTACACAGGAGGCAGTGACGGCCACCAACCTAGATGACTTTGCCGCGGTTCAACAGAAGATGGGACACATTCAGAGAGGAGAGGGCTATTGGATAAAAATAACAGTAATAATTTATATGCCGCCCATCTGACTGGGTTGCCACAGCTGCTCTGGATGGCTTCCAACAAATATAAAAGCATAATTAAAATTAAAAACGTCCCTGTACAGGGCTGCCTTCAGATGTCTTCTAAAAGTCTGGTAGTTGTTTTTCTCTTTGACATCTGATGGGAGGGCGTTCCACAGGGAAGGCGCCACTACCGAGAAGGCCCTCTGCCTGGTTCCCTGTAACTTCACTTCTCTCAGTGCGGAAACCACCAGAAGGCCTCAGCACTGGACCTCTGTGTCCAGGCAGAATGATGGGGGTGGAGACGCTCCTTCAGGTCTACTGGACCAAAGCCTTTTAGGGCTGTAAAGGTCAGCACCCACACTTGTGAAATTGCAATGCTTTGTTATGCTAGACATCTTAAGGCTCCTTTGGAACCCACTGGGAACATTTTCAACGTTGATGGAACAACCGTCAAGCTGTATCTTGTTAAATTTGTTTGCTAGTTCTTCAAATATTAAATAAAAACATTTTTTAAAAAAAAATTCATACCAATCCACTTTTGACTCTGGTGGCCAGTTTGACCAGGAGGCGTATCAGGCTCCCCAAAATGACCAGAACCCGTCCCCCTAGGCTTTGAAAAGGGGCACAACATGGGAGGCCTTTAGGCGGCTGGTAGCTCTGAGGCCGGCCGTGTTGAAATCCCAGGGGCTGCTGGAAACTGCAGGATGAGAGGGCAGAGCTGGCCCTCCGGTCTGGCCTGAGGACTTCTCAGAAGAGGCATCTGTGGCCACGGCGAGACTGGGGTGCAGGACTGGAGGGGGACCTTTGGCCTGACGCAGCAACCAAGCTCTTCCTGTGTTCTTGTTGTCTCAGGAGACTCCCCCGTTGCCTCTCCAGTTTGCCAAGCTGGACTCCTCACCCCACACCGCCTCTCAGGGAGCCCAAAGGCAGCCACCTCAGGGGACAGTCAGAAAAGTCTTGGTGGCCTCAGTCTCTGTGGTCGCCCTTGGAGCCACTTGGCGCTTGCCTGCTCCCTTCCAGCCACCTTTGGCGGAGCTGGGGCCCACTTTGCAGAGGCCACCTTGCACATCCAAAAGCCATGCAACTTCCACCACCATCTTTCTCCTCATTTGCTCAGGGATGCTTCCTCTCACCTGGCGGGCTCCGACTCAGCTGCTGGGACCACCTCCACCCGACTCGCTGCCCCACAGCGTGTTCTTGCCCCAGGCAGAGCTGGCCCCCCTGCCCTTCCCTCACACAAAGCAGCCAACAGGCAGCTCATTGCAATGGTGCCTCTCCAGCCCAGCAAAGGGCTCCTTCTCCAGCTGCTCAAGGGCGGCAGGAGGTCCAGGCCAGGCCAGGCGGAGGGGGGCAGTAAGAGACTGGTGCTCCTGGGAAGGAGGGAGCCTGGCCCAGCCAACTCCCCAGGGAGCGGCTGCTCCCAGCTGTTGGGGCGAGGAGAAGGGCACCCAGGGAGGCCCCCCCCCATTGGCCTGGGGGCAGAAGCCGCCCAGCCCAGCCCCAAAGCGTGCGGTTCTTGGAAGCTGCTGGTGTTTGCAGAGAAAACACCCCGAGATTTGGGGCTCTGGAGCCAAGCCCCTTCCATGCCTAAAACAGCACTGGCAGTACTGCCTTGGCATGGGGATCTCTTGGCAGTGCCCGCTGCCAGCCGGAATCCTGCATCCTGTTTGCTTCCTGCGCGGCAGCTGCCAGCCTGGCCCTGGGGGTCGAACAGAGGTTTGCCCTCCTGCTGGGAGCTGCGATGCCCCCTTGGGTGCCAGGGTGCCCACCCAGGGCCCTTGCCTTGCCTGTTTCAAAGGCTGCCTGCAGAGATCAGAGAGGGGCACATGGGGCAGATGGGGCTGCAAGGGAGCTGGGGGGAGACCCCCCACTGCCTCCCTTTCTCCCAGCAGTTCAGCCATGCCAGAGAGGGGCGGCCCTCAAGTGCTATGGGGCAGGGAAGCCCACCTCCTCCTCTGCCCCACCATCTTGCTGTGGCAGAGGCTTGGCCACTGGGATGTGCAGTGGAGCAAGAGTCCAGGAGGGGCCTGGGTGACGCTATGGGGCAGAGAAATAGGGAGGAGGGGGGCAGGAGAGGCAGGAAAGGTGCCAAGCAAGGAGAGGGCAGCCAGGCAGGGAGAGGGCACAGCCAAGGAATTCAGGCCATAAAATCAGTGTTGGAAGGGACCCCCAAAGGCCATCTGGTTCAACCCCCTGCAATGCAGGAATCACAGCTCAAGGATCCCTGATGCAGGGCCGCTCCATCTGTTTAAAGGCCTCCAGTGAAGGAGAGTCACAGAATCCTAGAAGCGTAGAGTTGGAAAGGACCCCAGTCCACCTCCTGCAATGCAGGAATCTCAGCTCAAGCATCCATGACAGAGGACCACCCAACCTCTGCTTCTGAACCTCCAGTGAAGGAGACGCCACCATCTCCCGAGGTCGTCTGTTCCACTGTCAAATGGCTCTTACTTCTCAAAAGGAACTGAAATGAGCCGCCAAATATTGTCATCAGGACAGAAGGGAAGCAGACAAGAGATTCTTCCTGAACCAAACATCTGCCAGTGCCGAATGTGGTGGCTATGAAGGGGGGGGGCAGCATTGAGAGGCCTTTGCTGGCCCTCAGTTTGGTTCTGGGCTTGATTCCATGCGCTGCCCCCAAAAAACCTACTATTATTTTATTTACTAAATTTGTATACCACCATCAGATCACAGGACAGTTCACAACATAAAAATACAAAATGAAAACACAAGATAAGACAAAAGCAATACGGGCCAATGCTCTCCCTCCCATGCACATTTCAAAGGCTGCAAAACGTAAACCAGCCCAACGCCTGGCCCAAGATTCATGGCCCTCTGTGCCCGTGGGCGCTGGCTTCCTCAGAGGGGATGTGCAGCTGTGCACATCTGCATCCCATGCCCCAGAGGCTCAGAGGAGGAAGCGATGCTGCTGCAAATGGCAGGAGGGGAGAGCGTGGCTCTTGCGCATGAATCCTGCTGGTGGTCTTCCACTGGGAGAAGAGGATGCTGGGCGAGGTGGGCAATGGCCCTGATCCGGCTGCAGGCTCTCCTTACGTCCCCGCCAGGAGGAGGGTGGCCTGGCTGGCTTCTTCCCCCGGTGGTGGAGGGGTCACAGGAGAGTTACCTCGATGCCCCGCAGGGCACCCCCTCTGGGGCTCCCAACTGGAGGCCTTCCCGGAGGGCATGAATCAGCTTTTCGCAGCTTGTTAAAAAATCCCCGTCCCACCTCTTGTTTTCGTGCCTCCGACCAGGAAATGAGCTTTGCCACTTTGCCAGGGAGAGTCAGCCGGAGGCCAGGCCCATAAAGCTCCCCTTTATAAGCACCTGTGGGGCAGACATTCCGCAGGGAGACCGAGGCAGGAGGAGAAGCAGCCTAGCCCAGAGACCCACGGGAAGCCCCACGATGTCTGCAAAGGCGAGGCTGGGGGCAGCGGCGGCATTCTGGGGCCCCCTGAGGGGCTGCCTGCTCCTCGCGCTCCTGCTCCAGCTGCCAGGAGCAAGGGCCCTTTGCTACTTCCATGCGCAAGGTGAGGCGGCCGTGGGGGACACAGGCGGGGGGCCAAGGGAAGGGACAGCAGAGAATTGTGGAGGTCACCCCAAAGGTCATCCAGTCCAACCCCGCTTCAGCGCAGGAATCTCAACTAAGCATCCCTGGCAGAGGGTCACCCGACCTCTGCTCAAAAACCTCCAAGGAAGGTTCCTCTGTCAAACAGCTCTTGCCACCAGAAAGTTTCCCTTGCTGTTGAGTCGGAATCTCCTTTCTTGTGACTTGGGTTCGAGTCCTACCATCTAGCACAGGAGAAAACAATCTTGCTCCACGTGACTGGCCTTGAGAGACTGGAAGATCAGGAACGGCCATCAGGCGCCCTTGGGCTATGCAGCCTTGAGGCTACCCAAGGCTAGCACTAGTCTTCAAATGTACAGAAATATTGCAAGGAAATGGACTCACTCGCAGGCTTTGAGGAGTGAGCCCTTACCATCGACAAAATCAAGGTAGAGAATGTATGGTAATAATTGAAATAGAGTCTAGAGGCAATTAGAGAACAATCAAGGTATAATAATGATAAGAATATAGTAACATTTTATTTTTATTTTAAGAAAGCTGTATGAAAAGACAATTAAACAAGCAGGAGAAGTAAATTTGCAAGAAACCAGAAGAGAAAGTTGAGGGGACTTGTGGGGACGGGTGTGTATCTGGGGGTGTTGTCTTTTCTTTTTGTGAACAATGTTATGGTGATGAATAAAGGTAAAGGTACCCCTGCCCGTACGGGCCAGTCTTGACAGACTCTAGGGTTGTGCGCCCATCTCACTCAAGAGGCCGGGGGCCAGCGCTGTCCGCAGACACTTCCGGGCACAACCCATCTCACGTGGCCAGCGTGACATCGCTGCTCTGGCGAGCCAGAGCCGCACACGGAAACGCCGTTTACCTTCCCGCTAGTAAGCGGTCCCTATTTATCTACTTGCACCCAGGGGTGCTTTCGAACTGCTAGGTTGGCAGGCGCTGGGACCGAGCAGCGGGAGCACACCCCGCCGCGGGGATTCGAACCGCCGACCTTTCGATCGGCAAGCCCTAGGCGCTGAGGCTTTTACCCACAGCGCCACCCGCGTCCCTCTATGGTGATGAATACAACACTGCAAAATTTAATAAAAATTATTTTTAAAAAATCAATCAATCTTCCAATGGCAAAGGAGCAGATTCAGACTCGACCTTGGGAAGACCCTTGTGACAGAAAGAGTGAATCAACCATAGAACAGGCTCCCCTTTTTTAAGCAGAGACCAGGCAGCCATCTGTTAGGGCTCCTTCAGCCGAGAGTCCTGCATCGCAGAGGGTTGGCTGGATGACCCCTGGGTGTCCCTTGCCACCCTACAAGCCTGAGAGGCAGGAGGAGACTGGCAGTGGCCCAAGAGCAGCCAGGGGCTCCCCGCTTGGCAGAATGCAGCTGGCAGAGCCGAGGGCCAGATCCTGCGCCAGCCCTCCTCCCTGACCGCCCTCCCTCCTTCCTTCCAGCCCCCTGCCTCTACAAGGAAAAGCACTTTGGCCCCGGAGACTCCTGGCAGGATGCCAACTGCTCCAAGTGCTTCTGCCTGGACCCCCTTGGCGTGGGCTGCTGCGACATGTGAGTTGGGCCAGGGGGGTGCATGTGGGCACAAGGAGCAGGGAGGGGGCACGTGTCTGGGAGGAGAAACGCAAGGAGACCCCCCCCCAAGTAGCAGCTCCTGGAGGGCACCACACCTGGAAGGGGCCCGGGCAGGTGAGGCGCCTGGAAGCGGCCCCCCAAGGGTGAAAATGTGGTCCTGGCCCCTGAGGCATCCTCGCTCCAGGCTCTCCTGGCATCGCGGCACCCGGGGCCAAGGCCAAGCAAAGGGGTCATTTCTGGGGCACAGGAAAGAGCCGGGAGAGGCGAGCAAAAGTCAGGGATTGGGACCTGGTGTTGCCGTCTGAGCAGATTTGAGCCCGGGATCTGAGGAGATGTCGAGTCTAGCAGAGCGTGAGACTCTTCATCTCAGGGGCGAGAGACTTGCCCCACGATGGGCAAAAAAAATTCTGCACTGAAGGGGGTTGGACTGGATGACCCTCGTGGTCCCTCCCAACTCCACACTTCTTGGAGGGGCTCACTGAGAAGAAACCCACCTGGAGGGGGGGAGTAGGCCAAGGGGGGTGCTGTTGCTCTGAGGAGCTCAAGAGCCACTGGACTGGCTGGGCCCGATCCGGCAGCCTCTCCCCATGTTCTCACTGCCCCCTCTCCTCCTGGCAGGATGCAGCCTCCGGTCGACTTCCCCGCCTGGTGCGAAGCGCGCTACGACTCCCGGGCCTGCAAGATCTCGCTGGTGCAGAAAGGCCGGCCGAGGCTGCCCTGCGTGAACAACCTGGAGCCCGGATGGGGGTCCGGCCAGGCCCCTGAGCAGCAGCCCGGCAGCCGAGGGGGGGCCAAGGCCCGGCTGGGGAGGAAGAGCCTGGAAGCGAAGCGCTGAGGGGGGGGGCAGAAGCAGCGCCAGAGGCACCCAGAAAGAAAGAAAGAAAGAAAGAAAGAAAGAAAGAAAGAAAGAAAGAAAGAAAGAAAGAAAGAAAGAAAGAGGGTCTTGCTACCACCATCACCAGAGGACCCCCCCCCCCGCACCTGTAGAGCAAGAACTCCCCCCAGCTTTGCTTACTGCCCACCTCTGCCTAGGGTGGGCACCTTGCCCCTTCCCTCCTCCTCCAGATGTCAAGCGGGGAGGGGGCCAGCACCCGGACCCTCTCCTGATCAGACACCATTGCCATAAATTCCCCCAGAAATTGGGGTCTGGCTGGCTCCCCAGCCCTGCAGATATAGGGCCTGCTTTTATCCCCCAATATATCCAAAATGGGGTGGGCAGGGGGTGTGGAAGGTCCTGGGGTGCTGCCCCCCATTTCCAGCTTCTTCTCCCTCACCCCCCCCCAGTCTGCTGGCTTCTCTGTTAAGCAGCCAAAGCCCCCCACCCCCCCAAAAAACCCACTAAAGGGAACCACTAAAGAGACCTAGGGGTCCAGACCACTCTGTGCAGGGGTGGGGGGGTGCCATGAGGGAAGAGGGCTGGGCCTGACCCAGAGATGGGCGCGATCCGCAGCCAAAGCTCTTCCTTAGGGCGTAGAGAGGGCATGTCTGACTCTTCAAATAAAGACCCCATGAAACAGCAGAAAGGCTCTGGTGCCGTGGATTTCTTGCGGGGGGGGGGGGAGAGATGGGCAGGAGGGGAAGGGTCTCCCGTGGCCCCCACCCTCCTGGGCAAAGAGTATGGGGGGGCAGCCATTGCAGCAGATTTTTATTAACCGACAGACACAAAACACAGCCTTGGGGGAGATGAAGCTGGGAAGCCCCTCCCGCTTTTCACCACAGTAACCCCCCCCCAACGACACTCTGGAAAAAAGGACAAGGGCAGGTCGGAGGCAGCGCCCCCTTCTCCATGGGAGAAATTCACACGCCAGACGGGGAGTGGGGCAGGGAGAGGGAGGGAGCCCAGCTGAAGAGCCCCCCCCCCGCTTGCACCCCAGACCTTCCAGCCAAAGGTCGCCCCCCCCAAATCAGGATCATGCCTCTCTGAGGCCACACAGGGAGGAACAGGACACTCAGACACGCAGAGGAGCCCTCAGATGGTGAGGGAGTTGGCGCCCGGGACCTGGGAGACGGAGGAGGCCAGGAGCGGGTTGGTGGGCAGGACCTTGATGGGGAGGTCCCAGCTGAAGGTGTCCACGTCCATCTGCTCCACCCCCGACCACCGGGAGGCTTCTTCCAAGGGGGGGCCCTCCGGGGGGGCCTGCCGCTGCGACGCCTCGCGGGACGTCACAAACTCAAAGTGCAGCCGCCACTTCAGGGACACTGCAAAGAGGGGGTGCCATCAGCAGAGGCGCTCTGGGCTGCTCCCACGGAATAGCCCCCTCCACTCACCCCCCACCAGCAGGGAGAGCGGAACCGGCACTTGGCTCCCAGGTGTGGGGGGCCAGCAAGGACCCCTTCTACTCAAATCAAGGGAAGCGAGAACATCTGGGGGCTCCCTCTGTCAGTGGGTGACAGCCAGCCAGGGGGCAGGGGGGAGGGGGTGCCCATGGGTCAGGGGTGCCAGGAGAGTGCCAGCTTGTGGCTGGTACAGGGGGGTCAAAGAGGTGCTTCCAGCAGCAGCCCCCTCTGGCTTAGGGGCACAGGAACCAGCCTCAGAGCTGGCGTACTGGACTGCCCAGCTTTGCCCCCTGGGCACTGACTGGCAGCAGCTCTCTGCAGTTTGGTGCAAAAGGTTGACCCACCCATGCCCCTTCTGCCTGCAAAGCAGTCGCCCCCCTGAAAGCTGCCCGGCCCCTCCCTCCCGGGCCCTGGAAGGACTCACCGATGTTGGTGCTGAACCCCGGGGCAGAGCTGAGCGGGATGGGCAGGCTGAAGCTGGTGCGCGAGGTGTGCAGGCAGGACTCCTGGTGGCGGGCGTGGGTGCTGTAGGAGACGGGCTGCCCGCGCCGGTGCTGGAAGGCCTCCTGGATCCGCTCCTCCGTCTGCAGGCTCACCAGGTACTAGCGGCCAGAGAGCAGAGGGCAAGCCCAGAGGCCGGGTGAGCACCCGACTGGCACCCCACACCCTCGACTCACCCACCCACCCATTTTGCCATCCTGGAGGGCACACCCACCCCCCCAGCCTCACCTGCAGGCATGGGATGTCCCCTTCGGAGAAGTTGAAGGTGCCCACAATGTCCTCACCAATCTTGTAGACGGCCTTGAAGATGCAGAAGGTGCCCACTTTGCCGCGGGAATTGCTGATGTTGTACAAGTCTGGGAGCAAAGGGGGGGGGACTCAGTCGGGGGGGCGGGAGAGAAAAAGGTGTGCCCCCACCTGGAATTGAACATGGCTGCGCTCCCCCCGCCCAGTGAAAACCAGCTTCTTGTGCGGTGGCTGAATGAGGCACTGTGCCCCGTGGCATGATGGGCACCTTAAGCCACACGGAAGAAGGAGCCAGCTCCTTTTCTGCTGCCCCAAAGGGAGGCCCAGACGAAAGGATGCAAGGCCCAACGGGGATTCCAGCGAAATATCAGGAAGAACTTTCCAAGTCTCCCTTGTCATAACCGCAACCTGGCGACTAGACTTTCTGTTTTTGTGCCCATAACCTAAGTTCCAGGAGTCACATGCAGGGTGGATAAAAATCAATAAATAATAATTTAAATTGGATTTTTAAAAAATTTAAATTGGATTTTTAAAATAAAATGCTTTCGGAGGAAAAGTCTTTCTAAATATAGCTTTCTATTTAAGTTATATTATAGTCCAAAAGCTATTCATCAGGAAATAAGGATTTGTTTTAAGTTTTTCATGTGTGCTAAAACTCACTCTAAGTTTTTTTAAAAAAAATGTTTAACCACATCAGTTAACAAACATGGATACATCTGCTATAATGTTATTGTTTTAGTTAAATAAATTGTTCTTAAGGAAATTATTATTTTTCTCCTTCCGATAAAGTACAGCAGAAAAGTTGTCCCAAGTATAAACAGTTAACTTATTAAACCTCACAATAATTTCATAATTATCTGTCTAGGTATTTCTAACAGTATAACCTAATCAGTAACTTTTTATATAACTGTAAAAACTACTCTGAAAATTTATTATTCTGAAAAGGAAACCTTCATCTGGTTGCAAATATTATGATTATATCAGCAAGAAGGAGTCTTTCTGTAAGAAAAAGGATTGAAATCAAGTCTTCCTGACTAGTGATTGAAATCATGATTGAAATCAAATTGATTTAAATTGATATGATTTCATTCAAATCCACCCTGGTCACATGGCAAACAGCTTTTCTTTCTTTCTTTTTTACCATTTCTCAACTTTATTTTCAGGGCAGGAGAGATTTTATTCCATTGTATTGAGCTTGGAAGATGCTCTGCTCATTTTCTCTTTGGGCTTTGAAGTAAACAGATAGATCTTCAAAGATGCTGAGCATGTACCCAACTCCATCGACAGGATCCTTGAACAGGGCCATTTCCCTCATTTGGGGAGACCCTTAAATTACCACGTCTAATTGAGTTTATTCCTGCTGCTCTTCCTATATTTCTTTTTTTTTGACAAATAGCTATCTCTCCCAGGGCAGGAGAGCCAGTGAACTGGGGGGGGGGGGGGTGAGGCGACTTACGGAGGCTCCTTCTGGAGGTGGCCGCCATCAGCAGCTCAGTGGCCAAGTCGGCCAGCCGGGAATCCTTCTTGGCCCCCCCCTCCTCCTCCTCCAGGAAAGGGTTGGAGGGGGCCACGGCCTCGTCCTGGGGGCACTGGTAGTCCTTGAGTCCTGCGGAGGGAGAGGCAGCATGGGCTGTTTGGCGGGGAGGGGGCGTCAAGAGGTCCTCTCCCCCCAATCCGGTCTGCGCAGGGACAGCCCCCCGCCCCCCGCCTTACCATGCAGCACCAGCACCCGGAAGGGGACGCGCAGGAGCTTGATGGGCGAGTTGACCCTCTGGCAGCCGATGGTCAGCTTGTAGACGTACTTGACCGCCTGCCCCCGGAAGGAGGGGGGGCCGTCCACCGGCAGCATCTCGCAGTACGAGTCTGGGGAAAGGGGGGCTGTGAGCTTGGGCTCCCATGGCTGGGTGGGAGGGGGCAGCCGGCCGGAGCAGAAGAAGAGCAAATGAAAAAGCCTTGCACTGTCGCGGGGTGGGATGGATGACCCGTGGGGTCCCTTCCAACTCTTATTCTGACTCCGAAAGGGCCCAGTTCAAAGCGCAGGGCCACGGGGCTGCCTCCCCAGAAGGCCTCTCCATGTGCCCCGGGATCCTTCTTGAGCAAGCCCCCCAACACCCTCGGTCTGAAAAGCAGGGGGCAGATCTGAGCACGCTGGGGGGGGGTCTTCCACATGCCCCTTCCCCACCTTTTTAGAGACTCCCAACCGGGCAGAGGCCGGGTTTTTTTGGGGGGGGGAGGGGGCGGCAGGCAGGTTGGGGCAGTGAAGCCCGTGAGGCAATGCTGGGTTAGGTGGGGCTGAGGCTGCCCTGGCCTCCCCTGGGGGTCTCAGCCCCACTGCCTGATCACCTCTGGGCGGCAATGGAAGTGGGAAAGTGGGGCTGGCGTGTGGGGAGCCCAGAGCCCTTCCCCACAGGAGAGGTCATCCCTCGCCTCCGCCCAGCCCCGCCTGGGGGCTCCCCAGCACCCCTCCCCTAGGGTGGGGGGCAAGGCAGAGGGGCGAGAAGGGGCTACTCACAGGTCTTGGACTCTCCTGGATCCAGTCGCAAGTCACAGAAGAGGATCTTTGGGGGGGTGGACAGGATGCAGTGGCCCCGCTCCCCTGCAAGGCAAAAGGGGCCGTGGGCACAGACTCACGCCCAGGACTACCCTGGCAGGCTCTCCTGCCTTCTCACCGGCCCCCAAGTGACACCCCCCCCCTGCCCTGCCCCTCCTCTAGGCCAAGGAAGGAAGCTCTCTGGAAGGAGCTCAGCCTCACCTCTGTTGGGGACAAAAACCGTCTCGTTCTCGGCCTGGACGTCGTGCCGGCTGTCTTCCGAAGGGGGCAGAGCCACCCGGCTCTCGCTGGCGTGGAACTGGCAGTGGATCTGAGCGCTGGCCCAGG